CCATTCTTCAAAGCATTTTTGTTCTCGTCTTTCATCGTTTTCCTTGTCTGTCGTCTGCGCTATTTGCCCGTAGGCTAAAACTCTGGGAACGAATATAACATGGCAGAAAAATAAAGGAAGTACGTGGAAAGAATAGAGTGGAGCTAAAGAAAAGAAGAGAAAACAAACGAAGGGGTAGCTGAGTCTGGATGTTATGTAGGGGCAGCTCGTTGGGTCATTACATTTCATTCTGATATACACATGCATACTGTGCTATTGAGAATTGCGTATTACAAAAAAGACATTTCACCTTTGAGGACTCAGAAAGAAAAATAATCGGAAGCTATATTGTTTTTCCCATGGTCTTTCCTTCAGGGAAATGAGGATCAAATTGGTAGGTACATAGATATGTTTTCTAAGCTATCATTAGGCCATAAATTAACCCCCACCTCTTTACGCCCCTCCCTTTAAAAAAAAAAGAAAGAAACAAAGAAAAAAAGGGATTTTTTTTTACATGTTGTGAAAAGAATATAAGTAAAACAAATAAACATTTCTAACGAAAAGAATAATAAAAAGCTTTAAAAAATGTTCTGAACTGAATAAAACTTCTAAAATTTTGTACATGAAATACAAAAAAGAAATTGAAGGCATGACGCATTGTTGTTTTTCGTTTTGCATGTTTTGTTTCGTTTTAATTTGCTTTGTTTTGTTTTTTTATTTTTTGCAAGCTACAGACTGAAGACGGATAGGGGAAGAAAGTGAAGAGCATCGATAAGTTCATGACCTTCTCCCCCAGGGGGTGTACCCTTCAACCGTTAGAAGCTGTGGAGCGTGCGACTGTGACATAGGCTTGACAGCTACAGACGTATCTCGATCGACAACTCTCTCAGTCTCTTTTATCGTACCTTCTCTCGCGAAATCCCTACCTCAAAAGACACAGTAAACAACATGTTTACACTCTCAACTTCATCACCTCCCTCGCTAGAAATAGGTCTTTCTGTTGTAATAAGTAAACGGCTGATTTGCCCCGTCTCGTGGGGGACATGGTGCGTGCTAAAAGAGCGTGGATAATGTCAGCCCTCGTCTAAACCCGTGCGCAGACCTGGCCCCAGCCGGCTCCGAGCTGGCCCTCCCGGACACAAATATTATGTTTGGGGTCAGTCGCTGTTGTGGGACTTTGGGAGAATTTCATGGTCTTCGCTGAGAGGACAATTCTCCCACACGACGTCCGTCAACATCTGGATTGGACAGCTGGGGAGATAAAGAAAAAAGTGCAAACCAAAGGAAGTTTTTTTTTTTTTGCTTTTACATGTAGTTTTAGTCAGTTTAATTTCGTTCGTTCGTTCGTTTGTATGAGTAAAGAGAAGCACATAGACTCAATGATGGTCATTTAGTGCTGGGAAAAAGTAAGGCAGATACACGAAAACCACAGAAGGGAAGTTAAGAAGTAGGACCTACCAGCGGCGCCTTCCAACGACTCGCGTAAAAGTTTTTAGGCACTTGCAACACAGTAAAGTCATATAAAGTGCCGAAGATAAGAGGCGCTATATGACACGAGAGTAACAAACACAAACAAAGAAATAGGAGAGATCAGGGAGAAAAATGCTTGAAAAGAAAGGAGGATCACTTCACACCAGAGCATCCGCCAACCACCCGCACTTTTAGCTTGGTTGCAAATTGTGTGCAGTATGTAGGATGAAAACATGAAAATATGAGGAGGTTGAGAAAGGTGATGTTGGGGACACAATCATTATACATAGAGAAAAAAATATAATGATTAAATTAAATTCAGACTGACCATACCTTAGGTTCCAGTGGTTGCCATAAATATGGTTGAATGAAAGAGTTTGAGATCTGGGTTTGCAAAAAAGAAAAGCGAAGAAAGCTGTGAAGAGAGGAAAGGAGAGAGGGGGTGG